TGACAGCCTTGGAGACCCTGTGGGCAGTTCCACTCCGTCCTCTAGGGGCGCTGTGGGTCAGAATAGACTCCACGGCAGTGGGTGTGGTTTGGGCTTTGCTCCTGCAAAGATCGACAACCTTGGAAACCCTAAGCAGCAGTTTCCATTCTGTCCTCTAGGGGCGCTGTGACTCAGACTCGACTTGACGGCACACAGCAATAGAAACATTAATTAACACTTTTTCATGTCATGACATGGCCCTGGTAACCATCACGTTAATGGCTGCATAATTTTCCTCCAAGAAAATGGGTGTCCTGGGCCTGTGAACCAAGCGTCCCCTGCCTCCCGCGGTCCTTTCTCACCTCCCGGCAGGCGCGCTCCTGCTCCAGGGGGATGGTGTCGTGATTCTTGTGTTTTTCCAGCAGGCAGGCCCCACACACGCAGCAGCCTTCCGTGCGGCAGTACAGCCGGCGGAGTCTGCGGTGCTTCCGGCACAAGCGGTTCTGGAGATCCCGCACGGGCTCCAGCAACCTGTGGCCCTGGAACACTCGGTCTTCGAAATGGCTACGCAGGTGCCTCTCGCACAGGGAGGCCACACACTGCAGGCATGACTTGATGGACTTGAGCTTCTGAGGGGGACAGAAGTCACAGGGCACATCCCCCGGCCCCGCCACATTCTGTAAGGACCTTGTGGCCTGGCCCTTGTTCTGGGTGAAGCAGGCCACCATGTCCCCGAGAATGACATTCTTGCAGAGGTGAGGCCTGGACGGGAAGCTCTGTCGGCACTGGGGGCAATAGGGCATCTCACCCATGGCCGTCTGGTGGTCCCAGAACCCTTGGAGGCAGGTCATGCAGAAGTTGTGGCCACAGGCTGTGGTGACTGGGTTGTGGAAGACCTCCAGGCAAATGGGACAGAGGATTTGGTCCTCCAGCACGTGGGGTTTGTTGCTGTTACTCATCAGGTCCTGGCCTTGGGGAGGCCTGGAGGGCTGGGCAGAGGGCTGTGGGGCAGGAACTTGGTTCTGGACAGGCGCTGGGAAGATAAATGGCAAAGCAAACTGAAACCAGAGCAGAAGCTGAAAGGGATTTGGGGGTATACCCTTTCTCTTGGAGGCAGCCACCTGCCCATGGGGCACAAGGGCTGTGTCATCTGCCAACAACACAACAAACCCATTGCCAGGGAGTTAATTCCAACTCATGACAATCCCACGTGTCACAGCACAGAACTACTCCATATGGTTTACTTGGCTGTAATCTTTTGGTTTCATCTTTATGGAAGGAGCCTTGGTGGTACAACCTTTAAATGCTGGCCTGCCAACCAAAAGGCTAACCAAAAGGTTGGTGGTTCAAACCTGCTCTGTGGGAGAGAGATCTGGCAATATGCTTCAGAAAGAAAACCCTATGGGGCGGTTTTCCTATAGAATACACGGGGTCACCATGAATTACAATGAACTCAGCAGCACCCAACAACAGTCTTTATGGACATAGATTGCCAGGCCTTTCTGCTGTGATCCCTGCTGGGTGGCTCAAACTGCCATCTTTAGCCTAGTATTCCCGTACAACCATTGCCTCTTGCCAGTCCCCTGGATGGTGTAAACTGGAGATGGGATATGTAATGAAGTCGTGTGTTCTTTTCCCAGCTCTGTCTCCTGGAACGAATCCTGGACAAGAGGGGGCATGGGAAGAAGTGACAGTGTGGCTGGGGAAGGGCCACGTCAGAGGAGGGCGGGAAGCACAAGTACTTACGTGAGTCGCCCTTCATGTTGGGGAGACCCAAAGACTCTGCTGCCCTGTGCCGGGGGAAGGGTAGGTGAGCTGAGAGCCGGCCTCTGCCCTGGCCCTGCTTCACTGATGCTGCAGGGTCCCCGTCCCCCAGCGCGCCCCACCCCCAGCGCCTTACATCTCTTCAGGTCTGATGACTGCCTTCTCAGCTTTCCCTTTGGCTGCTGGTTTTTGGTCTCACCCTCAAGGGGGCCCCTCCTAGAAGACTGCTCCCTACAATTTTGCTGCGTGACCTCACAATTCAGGCGAGACCAGCCCCAGCATTCTGCTTGTGATGTTAGCAGGGGAAAAGGGGTGTCGCTGGACTCGCGGTTGTATTGGTCCTTCAGCCTCTGCGTGGGCGGACTCTTTCCTCCAGAGCCTTAAGCCCAGGAGGCAGAGGAGCTGCTGGCACTGGGGTCACCTTCAGTGAACTCAGACCTCTCACGTACTGGCCAGAGAGGGAGAATGGAGACTAAGGGGCAGCAGGATCTGGGGCAACTTGTTTAATCTCTCTGGACCACCCGGGTTGTTGGAGGAGATGGTATGTCAAGGCCCTTCTAGTTATCATGAAGGAGGTCTGATGGCATGGTGCCTAAGGCATTTGGCTGTTAACCAGAAGGTTGGTGGTTCAAACCCACCAGCCAGTCCATGGAAGGAAGACTGGGCAATCTACTTCCGTAAAGATTTACCACCTCAGAAACACAAAGGGGGTCTCTATGAGTCAGAATAGACTTGATGGCAGTGAGGCTTTTTTTTTTTTTTTTTTTTTTTAATTTGGTTATCATGAATAAGCACTGGTGTCACAGTGGTTAAAGCATTTGGCTGCTAACCAAAAGTGTGGCTGTTTGAACTCATAGCCGCTCTGCGGGAGAAAGATGAGGCAGTCTGCTTCCGAAAAGATTTACAGCTTTGGAAATCCTGTGGGGCAGTTCTACTCTGTCCTCTAGGGGAGCTGTGGGTCGGAATCGACTCCATGGCAGTGGGTGTGGTTTGGGCTTTGTATCTGTGAAGACTGACAGCCTTGGAGACTCTGTGGGGCAGTTCCACCCTGTCCTCTAGGGGCACTGTGAGTTGGAATTGACTCAGTGACAGTGAGTTGTTTTGGTTACCATGAGCTCTTGTGGCACAGTGGTTAAGTGTTCAGGTGCTTACGGAAAAGTTAGTGGTTTGAACCCACCACCCTCTCTCTGCAAGAGGAAGATATAGCAATCTGCTTTGTAAAGATTCACAGCCTTGGAAACCCTATGGGGCGGTTCTACTCTGTCCGCTAGGGTTGCTATGAGTTGGAATCAGTGGCACTGGGTTGGGTTGGGTTTGGTTGTATCAGATTTCCTTGTCCTCCTCGTTTGCAAAGAGTTTTCAAAGTTTTGAATGAGTGTTGTATTTCATTTGATGCTTTTTCTGCACCTACTTAAATGACCATAATATTTCTCCAGTTTACTCTTTTAGTTGGTGAATTTATGTTGACTGATCCTCAGTTGTTAAGCCAACCTTGATTCCTGGAACGAGCCCTACTTGGTTGTGTTGTGTCCGACTTCTTTTCTTTTGTAATGGCTTTATTGAAATAAAATCCATATACCACATAGTTGAGTGGTTTTTAGTACATTCACAGAGTTGTGCAACCATTACCACAGCTAATCATAGAACACTGTCATCACCCCTAAAAGAGACCCCGTACTCTCCAGCTGTCTCCCTGCCATCCCTCAGCCCCTAGTTTTGAGGACCCTCTACTGTGTGGACACGTCTGATCTCATTGGTCTCCCTCTTTATTATTTCCGCTCCCTTACTTCTTTTCATTTAATTTGGTGTTTGAAGCTCCTCAGACATGGATGTTTAGATAACTAGTTTTCACCTTACTTATTTAGTTAATATATTCATTTTTCCTCTAACTATGGCTTTTCCTGCACCCCACAGCAAAATAGCATTACCGTTATTATTCGGATCAATAGATTTTCAAAAATGTTTATTGCAATTTCATCTCTGACCCATGTGCTATTCGGAATCACGTTGCTTAACTTCCAAATACACTAGTATATCCTAATTATCATTATTTGTTGTTTCTTAATTTCTAACTTAGTTCCTCTGTAAGCAGGTGATAGACTCTGATTTAAATCTTTTGCATTTTGTTGACACTTGCTTTATGGCTCCAACGGTTCCACACATGCTTGGAAAGCATGTGTTCGCTGTGGTTGTCTCATGCAATGTTCTCTGTATGTTCATTAGTGAAGTCTGTAAATCTTTTCTTTCAAAGCATCTGTATCCCAACTGGAGGGTTTGTGTGTGTGTGTGTGTGTGTGTGTTGTTCCACTTGTTTTAAGTTCCTGATTGTCGTGGCAAATTTCCTATAATTACTATGAATTTGCCTATTCCTCTATTTATTTATTTTTGGGCTTTAACGAACAAACAGAAATTCGTTTTCTCACATTTGAGGGGGTACAAGTCCAGATGCAGCACCTTGGTTCTCGGGGTAGCTTTCTCTTTCTTCTGGCTCTGGAAGGAGGTCTTTGTTGCTTCAGCTCCTGCTTCCTGCTTCCTGGGAGAGATCTCCATGTGTCTGACATCATCTGACCCCATATCTGCTCCTATTTCTCTTTTTAGTTCCATCAGTTTTGAGGCTAGGTGCTTAGATGCAAACACTGTTAGAGTTGTCATCTTTTTCTAGTGAATTGTAATTTTATCATTATCGATGTTTTATTATTTCAATGTTATCCTTCCTCTGTTAGCTTGATAGTTATACATTTTGCCACCATTCTGGGGAGCAGTTACCTAAGAAATTATAACATATATCCATGACTGACCAAAGGCTAATATAAATTTTGTTTTTATGTCTTGTTGTTGTTTGCCGTCGAGTCGGCCCCGACTCATAGCGACCCCTCCCTGGGTTTCCGAGGCAGTATCACTACGGAAGTAGGATTGCCCAACCTTCCTTCCAAGGAGTGGCTGGTGGGTTTGAACCGCCAGCCTTCTGGTGAGCAGTCAAGTGCCTTAGGCACTATGCTACCAGAGCTCCTTATGTCTTCTTAGAGAATGGGAAAGCCCTGAAATACTTGCACTCCATTCACCTCATCAAGACTTTCACTGTAGTTGTTTATTTTAATTTTATGTATTTTTTAAGCCCAGCCAGAGTGCTCCTTAGAAGCAAGAATGGTGAGACTGTGTCTCACGTATTTTTGAGAAGGGACCAGTCCCTGGAGAAGGCCATCGTGCCTGGTAAAGTGGAGGGTCAGCAAAAAAGAGGAAGCCCTCCACAAGATGGACTGACACAGTGCCTGCAACAGTGGGCTCATGCATGGCGCCAATTGTGAGGCTGGCCCAGGACCGGGCCGTGTTTTGTTCTGTTGGACAAGGGGCTGCTGAGTCAGAACCATAGGCGTGATGAATGTCTGCACAGTCAATATTCATTTACATCAATCCACTATTTACCTTTATAACTTCTCCCCACTCCTTCCTTTGTCTCTGAACTTCCATCTGCAATCATTTTCTTTCTGCCTAAAGAACACCTTTTAGTCTTTCAGTGCAGGTCTGTTGGTGAGGCATTCTGAGGCTTTGGTTGTTGATAGCATGTTCATTTCATAGGCCTTCTCCTAGGTTGGCAGCCATTTTCTTCCAGCACTTTGGAGACTGAATTCACTTGTGCCCTGACTTCCATTTTTTTTTTTTTTTTCTGTTAAGAGATTGGCTGTCAATCTTATTGCTGTTCCTTTGAGAGTAACCTGTCTTTTTTCCCCCCTTCTGGTTGCTTTAAAGAGCCCTAGTGGTATGCATAGTGCCTAGGCACTTGACTGCTAACCAGAAGGCTGGCGGTTCAAACCCACCAGCCACTCCTCAGAAGGAAGGTTGGACAATCTCCTTCTGTAGTGATAACACCTCGGAAACCCAAGGAGGGGTCGCTGTGAGTTGGGTCCGACTCGATGGAGAACAACAACAACAAGTGGGACTGTGATTAAGCTCTCAGATGCTAATCAAAAGGTCGGTGGTTTGACCCCCACATGGTTCCACGGGGGAGAAAGAGGTGGCAATGTGCTTCCATAACAATTACAGCATTGGAAAGCTAATGGCATAGTTCCACTCTGTCCTGTAGGGTTACTGTGCGTCATAATTGACTCGACAGCAATGGGATTTTTTGTCTGGTTGCTTTTACTATTTTCTCTGTATTTAGTTTGTATCTGCTCCATACCCGGCTGTGCTGTCTTTATCCTGCTTGAGATTTTAGTGATTCTTGCGTCTGGGACTTGATACCCTTCATTTGTTAGTCATTAATGAATGACTGTTAGTCATTAATTATCTCTAAATATTCCATTCTTGTTTTCCCTCCTTCTTGAGTTTCACCAATTACATTTATTTCTACCTTTTACACCATGAGTTATGTTTTCTTGTGATCTGTTTTCCAATTTTTGAATTTTCTCTTCTGATGTGTCTTTCTTTGCTATGCACCCTATCCACGGAGTTCTTAATTTCAGTAATCGTACTTTTTTAGTTCTTAATTTCCATTTGTTTCTTCTTTATAGTTTCTCGCTCACTGTGGAAATCACCAATACTTTATTTCCTTGAATACATTAGGCATAGTTATTTCTTAGTCTATGTCTCATAACTCCATTATCTATATCACTTATTATTCGTCATTCCTCCTGATGTTTAAACACACTGTCTTTTGTCCTCATAGGCCTATCATTTTATCATAAAAAAATGAAAACCTACAGAAAAGTAGAAATGCCAGTAAAATGAATCACACTGTACACTTTGCCCAGTTTTGTCAACCAAGGGCCAATCTTATTTCCTTTGCATACCATCCTATCTCCCCTCTTTCACTGAATTATTTTAAAGCAAGTGCCAAACACGTAGCTTCATCCACGAACACTTCTGTATCTAATTTTCTTAATAAATAGACTCTTTTTCGGAGTAGCTTTAGGTTTATAGGAAAATCGCACAGTAGTGTAGGGTCACCATTTACCCTCTCCCTGCTGTATGCGTTTCTTGCATTTCTGTGTCTGTACCTGT